AAGAGCAAGACTCTCAGCTGATTTGCTGCGCAGCTATACAAGGCAAGGACCTCCAGTCATGCCTGTAGGAACAGTATCCCAAGACCATCTGGGCACAGCTCTGGAGAAACAAGAAAGGCAGCATGAGGACAGTGGGAATTGTACAGCAAAAATACAGGAGTGTCCTCATCCTAATAAAAGGCCAAGTAGTGCACCAGGAGTCAAAGCCAGCTCTCCCACCAAGCCAGCTATGCCCATTCTCCTGAACAACCCTGGGGAAGAAGCACCTTCCCAGCCAATGCCCTGGGCATGGGAAGAGGGAAAGGCAGCAACAGGCATTGCACTGCTTCAACTAGAGAAAAGCAAGCCAGCTGGATCTGGAAGGTAAGCTGCTATAAAGCAGGGTGAGCGTAGCCCAGTCCATCTGGGGATAGGTCTCTGGTGTTAGGCCAGGGCACTGTAACTTTTAGGGGTTGCATAACCTTTGATAACTACTGTACATGATGCTGGGCTCTACTCCTTACTCCTCCTTAGGAGGCAAGGAGCAGAGAGCCCTGGTTTTGTAAATCTTTGTCACTGAACAAGATTAGAATTTGGTGGCCATTTGTTGCTAGTTTTCAACAAAACAGCAGCCAGCACTACTGGATTATGTGGGGAGCTGGAGAACCAAGAACTGGCCAGGATCCTCACTCCCTGAAGGTGATGACACCGCAGAGTTTTCCATGGCCAAAAAGAGAAAGAACTGATGAAGGGGAAGCCAGGTTGCTGAGAAAAGGGTAGCAGGAAGACCTGCAGGCCAGTCAAGGGAAAAGAGAAAACACTGCGTAATTGGAACAAGCCATCATGAAAACAGTTCCAAACTTAATTCACTTGGATGGGATTTCATGTGGTGCTTACAAGAATTAGCACTTTATCTTTGCAGACACAAGAAGCAAGAACTTGTTCTGCCATTATGCAGTTACTGATTCCCTTTTTTCCTCTTGTTTTTTTCCTGAAGAGCAAGCAGAAGAGGCATCTGTACAGCTCACCATGGGTTGTGGGCTGCTGTTGTGGGCAAGGAATGGCTGGTATGTCCTCAGGATATCAGTCTGTAGCAGGTGGCCAGAGAGACACAAGCCCTTGGATCTAGGCTGTACCCAAGGTCAGCCTAGATCCAGCTGTGCCCCACTGCTGAAGACCTGGAAGCCAGTCTCCCTGCAGGGAGCCTCAGTGCTCAACTGGAACATCAAAGAAACCAAAGTGACTTCTCTGGAGAGAAGCGGTTACAACTGGAGGGCTGTAGTTAACCGTGGCCAAGCTCTTCCATTGTTATTTCACAGTTGCTTGATGTTCTGAAAGATATTCAGAAAAATTACTTTAACTGTCCTGTGCCAAACTGGGCGAGGGTGAAAAAAAAATTGGAATTTGGCAGACATGTTGTTCATTCAGCATGTAGTTTGGATGACGTCCAGTGACTGACACAGGAGTTTTAACTGATCTGGGAGACTAAAACCCATTCACAAATAATTTGATTTAGGGTCACTGTGATTTCTTTTTATAAATAATTTTAATTGAGATGTATTTTTCTAATTAGGATCGACAGGCCTAATAGCAACTCTATTGTGTGCACAGCTCATCGTTCCCATCTTCGTAAATGACTTACAGATGTGATGTGCTAGTTTCTTGTTCACTGCACACGATGGGGCTTGTTCACAGGGCAACTGATGCCCCACAGACAGTGCACAAGCCATGCTGGACTCCCCTCCCCAAAGGCACGCTCTGAAGAAGACCCAGATGGAAAGCAAAGGAAGATTTCACCATCCGATTACATGCTCCAATTTGGGGGCTGGTCTAAGCCTTTGTGCAGCTTCAGACATCCCCACACTGCTGTAACTGCCTTCTAATTTCTCTGGCTCCAAGAGATGGTAATGACAATTTTGCTTTGCTTTGCTGCTCTAACTTCCATCATGGCTCAGGAAACACTCTGAACCAGAATATAATCCCTTTTGGACCAAGGCAAAGATCTAACACATCCTGGCAGAAAGCTGTGTCCCATGGCAAGTCTAAACTCAGATCGCCCAACTAGCCTGAATAGATCTGGAGAGACTGCAAGAGAATTCGGACAGCAGATGGGAGAAGAATGGCTCTGCAACTTGAATGCATCTTTCTTGGCAGCATCCTCCATGTGTGACAGCCTTCTCTTTGACTTGCACAATAACAATTGCATCCCAGCCACTTTCGTTACTAATTGTATCTGTTGTTTGAATGGCTCTTAGATTCCCTCCTGTGATTATAAATGTTCATACAAGTTCCTGGAGTCAGCAGTTGTTTTGTAGCTGAATAACAGGCTTGAGCTCCAAACTTTGAGATGCTCACTGCGATGATCAGATATGTTCTTAAAAGCCCTCCAAACTGGATTCCCAAACAAAAGTTCCATTGATCCTAAGCCTGAAATCCCAGCCATTACCCTGCAAACCTTCTCCCTTGTCTTTCAGAGGAACTGAGACTGGTGTGATAAAGGATGACTAAAACAGTCAAAGAAAGGAGGATTTATCTTATGATAAACTTAGACTACCAGAACAAGGGCTGAAGGGGATATAATTGCTACTGAGAGACACGTGGAAGGGGAGAAAGCATGAGAAAACCTTGTGAAAGCCCCAAGCTGAAAGTTGTGGAGCTATAAAGAAGACATTGATAGATGTAGGCTAGGGATGAAAACATTCCTGATTTTCAGAGCAAACAGGTCTGGAATGGGTTTCAGCAGAACCCACAGAAGAAGCCTAGTATGAAGCCTGCTTAAACATATGGGATGTATTGATATGACTGCAAAAGCAAGGGAGGGCAGTGTGTGACCTAGGAGGTCCCTGGAAGATCCCTATCCAGCCTTTGGCTATACCTGTACAAGGTATGAAAAGATTCCGTTGGCTCCTGCATTTGTCCATTGCCTTCATCCATCCTGTTTTGCCCCTCACCTCATTCAAGCAGTCATCCCAGGCTTCCCTTGTCCACATGAGCTAATTTTAGCGCTGAGCAGACCAATACTGCAGCACAGTCATGCCCAAACACACGATATGCCTATTGAAAAAGACTTTACCTATTGGGAAGAAAAAAAAATGCACTTTTTGCTTTGTTCTGTTTACCTAAATAAGTAAATGCTTGTATTCAAGCCAAATTCAGACTCAAATCCAAAGGATTGGGTAGCTCCTGTGAATGGCAACACAGCATTATGCTGGACAAGCAGGGTCCCACCAGCACAATTCCATCAAAGGAGAAATGTTGGCAGCTCTGTTTCTGGAATCACCAGCATCCACCTGGTGTGCACCCCTTCTGAAATCAGCAACACTGGCCTGTGTTAGTGCTGTTGACGGGGGAAATAACCTCTGCTGCTGGCGGCACATGACCACCATCATCACCACCAGCAATTCTCACCCCATTGCAGTCAGAGGCAAACCAGTCAGTGCTTCCCAAGTGCCATTTTTTTCCCAAATGCACTTCCTCAGCAGTTACACATTTCCCAGCTCTACTGTATAAATAAGGCAGTGGTCTGGGCTCCATAAGGATACCTGCTGGCGTCAGCAAGAGGCTGCAATTAAGGTGCTTTAATGTCATTTGTCTTCAGCATGAAATCAAGAGTGAGGGACTGCAACAGCACCAGCCCTCAGCCCTGGCCTGGCTGCACCTTTCCCACACCAGGAGCCCACCGGGAGAGGTCTTACGTCCGGGTGAGATGAAAGGCAGAAAAGCAGTGTGTCCCAGGTGTCTGGGGCCTTTCTATCAGACACCATACAGCTGCTGACAGCTTGCAAGCTGCAACCCACTGGAGCTCCGAAACATGGCTTCTGGGTGGAAAGGAAGCTGCTGTCCTTTTTTTTTTATTACCCATGAAATCAGTAATAACCAAGGCTTTAATCACAACGATGGGGCAGACTGGGGGTCCCTCCCATGACACCTAAGCAACACCTAAGGCCCTGAGACATGTTTAACTCTCTTTTTCCCGGATGAATGTGCAGAGCCCTCCACGGGCCACCACTAAATATGCCTGGCAGCAGGACTGCCTTGTGTAGCGCCTGCAGGGATTTGGGATGCTCGAGGTAAATCAGTGCCTTTCACACAAGTCTGCACCCGGTGCCCTTGCAGCAGCAGGCAGGGAAGCGGGCCGGGAAGGGACTTTCAGCCAAACGCAATTTGCTCGGTGGCCCTCAACACCGGGAGGAAGCATCCTCATTTGGGGTGGAGCTGGCTTGGGATCTAGGTTTTGGGATCCGGGGTTTGGCAATAGGGACTGGAAGCTCAGAGATCTCCAAACCGCCCCGGAGAGCAGCGTTTGGATAAAAAGCCAACTGGTCGCTGCGAGGGAATACTGGGGGGACCCTGCGAGGTGATGCTGGCGGTACACTGCCCGCCGGCACCTGCCCCTTCAACTCCGGTCCCCATTCCCGCTCCGCTCCGTCAGGTCCGGCGCTCCCGGTCCCCGCCATGGATGTATTAATGCATTTAATTATCAGCCCCCAATAAATACACATGCCGCTCCACGCTCCCACCCGGGAAGCCCTTCCGCCCGGTACCCCGATGCTGAGCGCTGCCCCGGCACAGGGATGGCTGCATCGGGATGTGCGGGCTGGCGGACCCCGCTGCTCCCGGTCTCCCGCGCGGTTTCCTCCCGGGAGCATCCCTCCCGAAGGAGCTCGGGAGGCGGGAGGGGCGGCGAGGCGCCGCTGGCACGGGTTCCGGTGATAGCGGCGGCGGCAGTGGCGGTGGCAGTGGCGGTGGCGGAGCGCGGCGCTGCTGCCCGGCTCGGCGGGGCGGCCGGCGGCGGGGGCCGCTCTCTGCCGCCTTCCCGCGCCCTCTCCTCGCTCCCGCAGATCTCGCGAGAGCGGCCGGCTGGTGGCCGCGGGGGCTGTTGCAGCAGCGGCGGCGGCGGCGGGCGGAGCGGCGGCGGCGGCGGGCGGCGGCCGGGGGCGGCCGAGGAGGAGGAGGAGGAGGAGGCGGCGGCGGAGGCGGCGGCGCGGGCGGCGGCGCGGGGGGGGCGCCGGGAGAGAAGCGGCGGCGGCCGAGGCCGAGCGGCGGCGGCGGCGGCGGGCGGCGGCATCATGGCGGACAGAGACAGCGGCAGCGAGCAGGGCGGCGGCGGCGGCGGGGGCGCGGCGGGCGCCGGGGGGCCGGGCTCGGGCGGCGGCGGCGGCGGCGGGGGCCCGGGCGGCGGCCTGCAGCATGAGACGCAGGAGCTGGCCTCCAAGCGGGTGGACATCCAGAACAAGCGCTTCTACCTGGACGTGAAGCAGAACGCCAAGGGCCGCTTCCTCAAGATCGCTGAGGTGGGGGCGGGCGGCAACAAGAGCCGCCTGACCCTCTCCATGTCGGTGGCCGTCGAGTTCCGCGACTACCTGGGCGACTTCATCGAGCACTACGCCCAGCTGGGGCCCAGCCAGCCCCCCGAGCTGGCGCAGGCGGCCGACGAGCCCCGGCGGGCGCTCAAGAGCGAGTTCCTGGTGCGGGAGAACCGCAAGTACTACATGGATCTGAAGGAGAACCAGCGCGGGCGCTTCCTCCGCGTCCGCCAGACCGTCAACCGCGGCCCGGGGCTGGGCTCCACGCAGGGCCAGACCATCGCCCTGCCGGCCCAGGGCCTCATCGAGTTCCGCGACGCCCTGGCCAAGCTCATCGACGACTACGGGGTGGAGGAGGAGCCGGCCGAGCTGCCCGAGGGCACCTCCTTGACTGTGGACAACAAGCGCTTCTTCTTCGACGTGGGTTCCAACAAGTACGGTGTCTTCATGCGGGTGAGCGAGGTGAAGCCCACCTACCGCAACTCCATCACCGTCCCCTACAAGGTCTGGGCCAAGTTCGGCCACACCTTCTGCAAGTACTCGGACGAGATGAAGAAGATCCAGGAGAAGCAGCGGGACAAGCGAGCCGCCGCCGCCGCCGCCCCCCCCGCGGGCGCCGGGGCCGAGCCGCCCCCCGAGGCCGAGGCCGCCGCCGCCGCTGCCGGGCCGCCCGGCGCCCTGCTGCAGGCCGAGGAGCCCGAGGAGGACTGACCGCCCGCCCCCCGGGACGAGGACTGGCCCCGCCGCCGGCGGGAGGGCGGGCGGGGGGCGGCGGGAGGGCGGGGGGGGGGCGGTGGCGAGAAGCCCTCCCCTCGGCCCGGAGCCCCCCCCGGCAGCGCCGCCCGCCCGGCGCCCCCCGCCCGCCGCCCGGCAGCAGCGCCTCCGACCCGCCACCCATCGCTGGATGTTCCTCCACTTTACCCACCGTATCAAACAGTAAGCAGCTGCTAAAACAAAACAAAAACAAAAAAAATTACAAAACAAAACACACAAAAAAAAAGAGTCAAAAAAAAAGTAATAACATTATATATGAACTGTGTTTCCTACTTGATTAAAAATATAAAGAACTGAGTGTTTATTTCCCTAATTAACCGAGAACTTTTGTACACGTTTAAGCTATTATTATTAAAAGTGTTTGCAAAAATGGTCAAGATTATAATATTGCTGAATTATATAAAAAAAAAGTCCTTTTCATGTTGAGCTAACATTTGACTTTAGCACAAAAAAAAAAAGAGATATTTTAGAACACGTAAAATAATATTTTTAGTTTTTTCTTCTCATTTTGTTACCAAATTTCGAACCTTAATGGAGGTTACTATAGTATATTTGACACCCTATATACCTGTGATTAGAGATGTGTATATATATATGAGGGCTAGGCATGCTGTGTGTCTGAGCTTTGTCTAAATGTTATGCAGAAGTTTGTAGAGTTAAAAGGTACGTAGGTTTAATTCATGCAAGGTAAACAATAAGTGCTCTCTTTTATACAATATGCATTGCATCTGGACCTTAAACATATAAAAATGGTCAGTGAAACTTCTGTGAACATGAAGAAAAATTATTAAAAAAGGCATTTAAATGAAATTTGCTAACTTGTGATTTTTACGTTTGAACCAAAGTTATTCAAATAGTAAAAAAAAAAAAAAAAAAAAGAAAAGAAAAAAAAGGCAAAAAAGAGAGAGAGAGAAAAAAAAAAGGAAAGGATTTCCTCCCGTACTAATTTTTTTCTGCACCTGTTTGGTTTACAGCTGAGTAGGCCTATTGTCATTGCTGTGTATATGAGATGTACTTGTATTGTTCATAATATATATTTTTTTTATTCTGTGTACTTAAAAGTACTTAACCTGATGTGCAGCGGTTTCCAGTCGACCTGTCTTTGGGCAGCAGGTAGCAAGTCTTTCTGTGTCGCCACTGGCACGAGCACTGTCTCTTATCTCCTAACGTGGTGCAAGGTCCGAACCCACGCTGGGACCCCCCTGCCAGTGCCGTTAACTTCTGCAGGCTGGTAGAAATCAGAGCGGTGCCATCGCAGAGTAACCCCACTGAGCCACGGGGTTTTAAAAGTGGGAGCCAAGCCGGTGTGTGTCTGTAACGGATTTCCATGTAGCTCTGGTGCTAGTTATTACTGGCTACATACCTGGCGAGCCTTGACTATGCCCTCCCCTCCCTGTCCCAGCAGCTCCGTGCGCGCTTGCGGGCTCTGCTCGAAGCCTAGGGTAGGGAAGGGTAGATTGGTCAGAACACTGAGCTGTCCAGGTGTGTTCTCCAAATTGAAATTGTTTGTAATAATAATGATGATGATAATAATAATAGACTTCTACAGGTTGTTCTTTTTTGTTGGTTTTGTTTCTTTTTTTCCTTTTAAAAAAGTCGGTGTGCTTTTAATTGACTAACTTGCTGCTGTATAGTAAAATAGTAATATATTTTTATCATTAAAGTGCTGCATGACTATCATCGTTATGAGTGAAGAGAAAAACGTTATAAAAAGATGCCTTAAACAGTGAAAACAAAACTTTTTTTTTCTTTCTTTCTTTTTCCTTTTCTTTCCTTTTCTTGGATGGAATGCAGTAGACAGCGTTTCAGAGAAACTAGGATCTTGGTCCACTCAAAAGTTTTTTTGGGATGTGGTCATTTTAATGGTTTTGGAAGCTGGTAGACCTGGCGGCTGCGCTGCTTTACTGGTGGTCAAGGATGGAGTGTTGGAAGGGTGGGGAGAAAAACAAAAAGAAAGAAGTTTGTTATAAGGAATTTTATTTCCTGATGTCTTTTTATTCCCATTTGAATTTATAATTCCCTTTCTCTTTTTCCTTTTGAGATGTACTGTAAGTGTCCAAACAAGCTGTCTCCATTGTACCCTGCGTTATTTCCCTTGACAGAAGTTTTGCTGTTGGTGTTCACAGAAAGTTAACTATAAGCTGCCGGTAGCGAGGTGTTTCTGTTTCTTTTAAACAATCACTGGAAATGTTTAATATTGCTTTAATGTGCACTTTCCTCTCTCCCAGTAGTAAAATAAGCTTTTGGAGTGCGTAATGTGACATTTGACATGGTTCTCAATTACATGTAAACATTTGTCTGATAACCTGCTTTTGAATCGGAGGCTCTGGATGGGCAGTTCCATCGGTTATTGTACTTCAACTGTGATGTGTGCAGGACTGCATTCTCCATGCTGCTAGACGTAGTTAGGACATGAATTGCTTTGGTTTTGCTACTTGACTGATTGATTGTCTCGGTCCTGCTGTTCACCGCCCTCCCTAAAGTTGTCGCGCTGCCGACGGACACGGGCCGGTGCTCGTAGTTCCACGCCGCCACGGTGTGTGCCCAGCAATGAGTAGCGGGAGGCGATGAGAGCGCAGCGAGTGTCCTCCTGTAGCTTTCCATGGCCAACGAGGGGTCTTCTGACCCGCGCCGCCCGGATCCTGCCTGGGATCCGGCTGACTCGAGCAGCGCAGGGGCCGCGTGGTTCCAGTCCAACCAGTCCCACCAGTACAGCCCCCTGGCAGTTCTGTGAACAGTGTCTGAGAACTCGTGGTCAGTTTTTGTCTCGTTTTGGGTTTCTTCTGCGTGTTTCATAGGGTTTTTTTTGTTACTTCTTTCAATGCACATTATGTATGTTCTAGGACTTGATGAATGATGCTAATTGAAAGACAAAATGACTGTAAAGGTTCGTGGGATTTCGCTCCTGGTTTTCTTTTTGGTTTGATATTCTTTTTTTTTTTTTGCTTATTTTTGTTTTTCCCAGAGGTGCTCGGTACTTTACCAAGGCTCTGATATATCAGTATTTAAAACAAAGTACAGAAAACCCTGTTTAATGTTAGAAGAAGAAAGGTATATTTGACCATATGTGTTGTTTTAAAATAAGACAGTATGCTCAAATGTGCCAAGATACCTAATTCCTGAGAAGTATGCCTTATATTTTCCTTGCTGATATGCTTTTAAATGTCTTGTAGAATAGGTCCAAGAGCATGATAAAAACTACTTTATAATGACTACGTGCAAGAAAACTTGAAATTCATTGCAATACTGACTTTATTTTATTTTATTTTTTTAAGTTAAAAGGACACTGTCAAGTAATTTACAGTTGAAATACAACCACCCTGTAAGTGGTTTTGTGCTAATGGAGAAATGTGCTCCGAATTTAAAGTATTTTTTTGGTTGTTGTTAAAAAAAAAATAAAAAAAAAAAAAAAGAGGAAAATTGCTCTGTCTCTGAGAAGTGAAATAATAAAGAACCAAAATGAGCTGCTGTTGGTTCCTGCTTCTTCATCATGCTCCCTCTTGGGACCCATCCTGGTGCTGGGGCCGGGGGTCCTGTGCCCATGGGCAGCAGCTCAGCAGTGGGGTAACAGGCAGGATGCTGGGCTTCCAGCACGGTGTATCCCTAATGCAGAGGAGAGCTTCTTTGGAAAATTCTAATTGATAAAAACAGGAAAATGGGAAAAAGAAAAAAAAAAGACTAAATACTTGACAGTGTCACTTTCTTGCGTATCCCTCGCAGGGGTTGAAATGTGCTTGGTGGGAATGCGGTTCGCAACCTGCCACGGGACCGCGGTGAGGTCAGAGGGGCTGCCCTTGTGGGCAGGGTGCAAGGCAGAGGTGGTCCCATGCAGCAGGGAGAGAGCGGCCGGTGACTTGAGCCCCTGCCCAGAGCCGACTGGTATCTTTTTGTTTGGGGGGGAGCAATTACTTTGTTGCCTTTACAAATAGCACTGTAACCACCTTTTTTTATGATTAGCTGTAGTATAACCTTTGTCCCTTCAAACTATGCAAGCTATGAAATGTAAATTAGGGATCAGTTAAAGATAGTTGATTATATTCAATCAGATGACATTCATGCACTAACTGGAGTATATACAGATAAAGCTATTAGAGTGACTTGTATGCTAACAGCAAGATATAACATACCTACCTATTCTAAAAAGAAAAATGATTATTAATATTGTATAACAGGACTGTGGGGGTTGGGAGGGGATGTTATCTCTTACCTTCTTAAAGGGGGATTTAAGATTTTTATAACTGTTTTTTCCATCAAACTTTAATATTTTTGTCAAATTTTTAGGTATTTAATTTGTAAAATAGATTTTACTTTGTACTGGCGTACAGAAAACAGGGGTTGATTTAAACTTTTTTGAAGCCAAGTGATCAACTACATTTGTAATAAAAAGTCAATGGATCTATATCAGTCGTACTCACTGTTTTCATTTCTTGTACGTTCTAATGCAGTGGCGCTGTATGTCTCCCAAGGAACAAAAAATTGGGGAGGTGGGTGGAAGGAGAAGGCAAAAAACGTCAGCTTTGAGGCTGCAAATTGATGTGTAGGCAAGTGGCCCGCGGTCAGTGGAGATTTGGTAGCTATGCGTTTTTACCAGAACCACGGTGCACTGTTTCAAGAAGGGGTTAAGAAAACCTGACGTTTTTGGCATGTCTTCACTTCATGCTTCCACCTTGGTGCGCATAAACTCTCGAGCCACCCTTTGGGAAGTGCTTAAGAAAACCAAACCCAAACCAAGCAAAACTCTGATTACTCCTAAGGTGGTGAACTACAGCACATCACGTTTTTGCACCTGTACATGGTATCTCTCTTCCTAAAAGGTCTGCCGCTTCCTTCTTTTCTCTAAGTTCAATAGGTTAAACTGTTTTGGTTTTTTACCTTAATTTACATCACCAAGTGTTTTGAGTTGAAGACTTCAGCAGATCCACCAAGGTTGGATCCAACACCTTGCAGAGCACTGGCACGATTCTTTTTTGTTTGCTTTAAACCCAGATCCCATTTCCCCTTCCAGGGCATATACCAAATCTGATTGACTTGTCTGTGGCAGAAGTTGTGGGAGCTACAACTGGAGAATCATGACATTAATGTACAAGAATGCTAAAACAGGTTTACATTTGGAGGGGGCTCTTGTGAAACACAAAAACTCAAAGTGTAACTAGGACCAACCA